TCAGCTGGTTCCACTGCGCAGTGGCGCGCCCGGCTCCGGCCTCGTCACGTGGCCGTCTAGACACCCTGTCGCTTTAAAAAAAAAAAAAGCGATTGTGTTTCGCAAACAACAGATCGGGTTTCTAAAAGCTATTTCTCCCACCACCCCTAGCCCGTCACTGCCAACCCCTCCCAGAGCTGCCGAGGTGGGACAAATGGGGGGGACGTGGGGTGCCGAGACGCTCCCAGAGTCGACAGTGAGGCGGCCGAGTGGAAGAGAAATGGAGCCGCCGGGAGAGCCCTGAATCCATCGCCGAGAGTTTGTGATCGGAGCCTGATCCAGACCCAGTCCCCGAGCCTCGCAGCCTCGATCCCGGCACTCCATTCATACGTTTTGTTTAAAGGCTTGGCGGTGGCTCCCCGGCCTCGCCGGAGGGAGGGGAGGGGAGCACTGTCTCGGTAGAAAACACATTTACACTGGACTGGACCGAGGCCCTGGGAGTGTGCGCTAGAGGGAACAGCCGGGCCGCCGAGGGCGGGAGGCGGGAGACTGTGACCTCAGCAGCGGCGGCGCGCTCCCGCTCCAGGCTCCGGTTTCTGGGACTGCCTGCAGAAAAGTCTCTAGTGCACCGCTCTGGAATGCATTTGGCTAGCTGACGCCCTGCTAGGGGCACCAACCCGGCGAGAAAGGAGGGAGCGGGGGGCTCACCAGCCAGCCTATGGCGGGTTTCCTCCGGGGCCCGGAAGACCTCCGACGCGGGGAGATAACCCTTGGAGCACTGTGCCTAGGGCATGCATATGCAAGCGGGCCTGCTTCGGCCCCCTCCTTCGCCTCGGAGCTTTCTAGGTGCTTAGTGTCAGAATCATCCCGAGACTCCAGGATTGGGAGAAGCGTGGACTCTTGGCAGTTCACTGCATGGAAATGGGTAAGGAAAAACCATTGGTAGAAAAAGGACAAGAGCGCGTTTGCAGCTTGAAAACCCAGGGTACGAAGAAACGTTAAGATTTTCAATATATACGCATCCGTAGTGACGAGGCTACGAGTTGACATGGTGATTCTAACCACTCATCTTATTCAATGAAATACGATTTTTAAGTCATTTAGAATTGCGAGATCAGTACGAAAATGAAACTCCTAAGGCGTTTTTAAAAATCTTTAGAAACGCTGAAAGGTAGCACTATTTCATGTCTTGAGCGAAAAGATAAGTTCCTAAAAGGTACAAATGAATCTTGAACACCTGATAAGGTCCCCTCCTCTCCAGCAACTTAAAAGTGTCTGACATGCAGTAGATGCCTAATAAATATTTAGGAATCAACACTTAGAGCTGGGTAGGACTTCAAGGGGGCATTTGGACAACTTTCCACACACACCTCCAAAAAAGCACCTTTGGACACACAAATGGGAGAAGAAATAAAAACTGATTACATGAACATTTACTAACCTATATGACAGTCAGGTGCATAACAGTGTAGAAACGTGTATGCTGCATTCTAAACATTTGCTTTGTAAGCCACATAGGTTACAATTGTATATGTTCATAATTTTGTTTTAAATAAAAAACGTTTCTTATTGAAGAAAAAAAAACAATCTGCAAAGACAGCAGACAAGAAAGTCCAGAAAGAAATGGACATGGGGACGCCTTCTTCTTATTGTTGTTGTTTTTGTTACCAACTCATAGCTACCTTATGCACAGCAAAAAGAAACACTGCCAGGTCCTGGGTCAACCTCACAATTGTTGCCACGCTTGAGTCCATCGATGCTGCCACCTTGCCAATCCGTCTCGTTGGGAGTCTTCCTCTTTTTCTCTGACCCTCCACCTTACCAAACATGATATCCTTCTTCAGCGACTGGTCCGTCCTGACAATATGTCCGAAGTATGAGAGACGAAGTTTGGCCATCTTGGCTTCCAAGGAGCACTGTGGCTGCACTTCTTCCAACACAAATCTATTGGTTCTTTTGGCAGCCCATGGTACTTTTAGTATTCTCCTCCAACACCATAACTCAAAAGCATCAATACTTATACTGTCTTCCTTATTCACTGTTCGGCTCTTGCATGCATATGAGGTTATTGAAAATACCATGGCTTTAGTTCTGGGGAATTCCATCATCTTGGGCAGATACAACCAGAATAAGTCAAAATGAGGTTTTTGATGTTTCTGGGGAAAACGTAAGCAAGGTTTAGAAAGATTACCTGACCTGAGTCCTGCTCCCAGTTCCACCACTTACACTAGTAAAGGTCCAAATGTTGGGCGAGCACCTGGCCCTGGCGGCATTTGAAAAGCTTTCTGGGGTCCCATTCTCTCTCTCAGCTCTGGGCCTCACCTTCACTTTTTCAGAGATGCCAGGCCAGTCCACAAAATGGTAGGAAGGACTTAAATAAACAGAGTGTAAATGTTGCACATTCTAATATGCTTCTTGGCTAACTAGAGGATCTAAAGAATCTTTTGGAAATCTGACCAATGGCGTTTAACGCTCTCTGTGATGAGAGGCCAGAGGTCACACTGGGCAGGTAGGTTTATTAGGAGTTTCAGGAAAGGAATCTGACATCACAGCTTGTCTGGATGGAACATGCATATACTTGCAGAAATATGTTCCCATATAGTGTAACTGTGGTGCTTTAGTTCAGGCGTTGTACCTACCTTTCCTTCTCTGTTCAGCTAGCTTCCCTCCTCCATTTTCCAATACTGGCCAGATGATGAGTGGGTAAGGAGCAGCAAGGGTTGGTTCTGGGCTGCTTTCTAGCTCCCCAGCACCCCTCCCCCCCAATCAGTTAACATCCTGAGCCTTCCCTTGCACCAGCCCCACCCCATCCCATTCTTACTCCTTTCCTTTCCAAGAAAGAAGCAGGCACAAGAGGAACTCTTGGCTGACTGGTTTGCCTAGCAAGGGAGTCCCTTTTGTCCCTTCCACGGGCACAAATGTGACCGATAAGCACCGCTTCTCAAGACTATTCTGATCCTTAAAAAAAAAAAAAAAAAGTTTTAGGAGTTCACCAAACTATTGTGAATGGGTTTGATTCTAATCATTTGCTGGCAGGGAATATGGAATAAAAGATCTCATTTGCAGTTGTTTATTTCCTGTTGTGCCTTCTATTTTCATCTTTTAGTCACTTTGGAGATGGTAATCAAACCCTAATCATGGTGCAGCCACAAGTCACAGAGACCAAAATAACTTGGAGCAGAGTTATGACAAACAAGGATGGAGTCAGCTAAAGACCTGGCTGGCTACTTAATCACTGCCCGCCTACCCCCAACCCCAGCACCTGGAAAGCTGGGGGAGGGGAAGGGTTGCCCTCTAAAA